CGGCCGCGCCCCCGCCCCGCGCGCCGCCTGCAACTTGGCAAAGTTTGGGGGGCCGGGGTCCCCGCGACCCCGGCTCCGACGCTGCCGGGCGCCCGCGCGGCTTCTCGCCCTGCTCGGCCCGCGGGGCCCGAGAACTACTTTTCCCCTCCCCTGGCCTGTGGGGGCAGGGATGGAAAATTACCTGGAGAAAATGGTGGCGATGGGGCCTTTTTTTTTTTTTTTTTAAAGCACGTAGATCATTCCAGATGCCCAGGTCTGGCTGTGCCCCAGAATTGGAATAACCCGTTCTTGACATTGATTTCGAATACATCTCATGTCTCCGTCGGGGTGAAGTGGCTTTTAACCCTTTGGGGACTTGGGACTCCTTGGAGACTGACAAAAGCTGAAGGCTCCCCCTCCTGGGGGAGGGTCGTCCTGGCGCCCCCCGCCTGGCCCAGGCCCGCTCGGGCAGGGCTCCCCCTGCGGTGCCGCCCAGGTTGCGGGCAGGAACTTGGCGGAGTTTCCGCTCCCCCAGCCAGCGCTGCTTTGCAGCCCCCCACCCCCCAAACGCGATGGTCAGACGCATCTGGGGTTCGGCGCGTGACCTCCCCAGCTACTACATTTTGGAGTTCTGCCTAAAGTGAGCACATTACATAAAACGCCCACCTTTTTCTAGTGCCTTTTAATCGCCATGGCTTGCAGGGCTTTTTCTTTTTCTTCTTTTTTTTTTTTTTTTTAATTAGTCACATTTCAGACATCTTCCCTGGATCCGGTGACAAAGGCGTCAACCTCTCCGCCCAAGAAGGAAAGGACACACGCCCGGGCCTTTCCAAGTCCTGATTTAGGGCTGAGGCCGCAGCCACACCCCCTCCCCAGCTTCGAAGACAGCTTCAGCTTCTGGGGACCCTTGGCGGTGATATCTTATCTCTGAGGACATCAATGCCACCCCTTGTGCACGGGCCAACGAAAACAAAGCGAGCGCCATACAGGATTTTAAAATATTAGTGGTCACGGTTTAGAAAGTAAAAGGAAACATGAAATTAATATTTAATATTTCATTTATAAATATATATTTATTTATTAACAATAGATCCACAATAGCATGGTTGCAGTATATGAGTACACAAAAACCAAGATCCTTTGTACTCTTTTTCATACTAAATTTTCAGAATCCAAGCGTCCATTTTACACTCTCAGCACTTGTTCTTCCAGTACCCCCTCCCTCCCGCTCCCCATGCTGAGGCCTGAAGCCAGGATCTTACTTCCCGCTAGGCCACATCCCCAGCCCTTTTTATTTCTTGAGACGGGGGTCGCATTAAGTTCCTATGTTGCCCAGGTTGGGCTTGCACTTGTTACTGTCCTGTCTCAGCCTTCTGTAGCCTCCACAGCTGGTTAGCGGCGGCCTAAGGGACACAGCTGGCCCAGAGGCACAGCAGAGGTCGCTGGGCTCACCTCGCGCCAGCGCACCCCACCTGCTAGTTTATGAGGCAGACACTTCCGGGTCTCAGTGGCCTCTCCTGCGGCCTCCTGGTTTGTTTTCCCACTGTTACATTTTTACCTTGCTACTGCCCCTCCCTTTATGGAGCCATCCTTTGAAACATTGTTTCCTCTTATTCCTAGTTCAGATATAATTCACTCAGTATAAAATCTGACACTCTGCTTTGAAGGTTGTTCCTTTGGCACCAGGAATGGAACTCAGGACTACGCTAGGCAGGCACTCGTGCCACTGAGCTATTTCCCCAGACTTTTTTTAAAAAAATTTTTAAGAGTCTAGGGGCTGGGGAGATGGCTCAGTAGAATAAGCGCTTCCCTGGCAAGTGCAAGGGCCTGAGTTCAATCCCTGGTTCCGCAAAAAAAAGAAAAAAGAAATTCCCCATAGAACTCACCCCTACTTCCCCTAGCTTTTACGTTACCACTAACTTGCTTTGTCTCTGTGGATTTTCCTGTTCTGGACATTTCAGATAAATAGAAAGGTAAACAGATCATACATATGTAAATGACATGCATATGTTAATAGATATGTATATATGCAAATATTTATGCATATGCCAATAGAACTATGCATATGTAAACAAAACTGCATATGTGAACAGAATCATGCACATATAAACAGAATCATACCTATGTGGCCTTCTGTATTGTCTCCTTTCACTTCTCATTGTTTCCACATTTCACTCACCATGTGGCATGTGTATGCCAGTTTTTATTCCAGGTTTTTAATGAATGAATAATCATTGTATGTACATACCCAATTTTGTTTATCCATAAAGCTGTGGAATTCTTTTTTTTTTTTTTTTTTTTTGGTAGAACTGGGGATTGAACTCAGGCCCTTGTAATGGCCAGGGAAGCACTTTTTCTACTGAGCTATCTCCCCAGACCCTGTGGAATTCTATTGATTGACATTTTGGTCATTTACACTTTTTTTTTTTTTTTCTTCTTTTACTGGTGACTGAACAAAGGGCCTTTGCATTAAGGTACATTACCAGGTCTTTCTTTTTTTTTTTCCAGAAGTAGGGATTGAACCCAGGCCCTTGCGTTTGCCAGGGACGCAGTTATTCCACTGAGCCATCTCCCCAGCCCCTTATTGTTTTATGTTGAGATAGGGTCTAAGTCAATAAATTCTCCAGGCTGCAATCACACTTGTGAATTTGCTGTCCTCCTGCCGCAGCCTGAAGCTTTGGAACTGGGAAGTGAGTCCCAAGTTCTTTTAAGGACCCTTTTGGCTAGTCTAGGGACCTTGTGCTTATTTCCAAGAGTTTTAGGGCCTCTTTGTCCAGAGGCAGAACTTGATATCGCTGTTGATTTGGCTGTATTAAATCCGGGTGTATAGGGAGTGTTGTGATTTTTTTTTTTTTTTAATGTATTTAGTCCAGGGTCTACAGGGTCTCACTACGCAGATTGGACTCGTAGTGATCCTCCTGTGTTCAGCCTCCCAAGTGCTGGGATTATGGGCACGCGCCACCATGCCGTCTCAGTCACCCAATCACCGTCTCAGCAAGCCACCCCCCCCCCGGGGGGGGGGTGTCAGCTCGCACGTCAGGGATCAAACTGGGTCCCTGAGTCTGCC